GTACCTTGTTTTCGGCAGAGGACAGAGCATGATATAATGCTGATAATTTGATCTTTGAGTTACTGCAGCAAGATCGAATTAGATTTTGTAAATTCTCCACACCATTACAGTGACCAATTGCTTTATTCCTGACTTTTAGGAGCTGTTTCCATACCCATGAATCTCCATTTTTCACATCAACTTGCCATATATTCAAGTGTTTAAGGTATGTACCATGTATCCATTATTTGATCCATAGCAATTCCTTATTAGTGTGTATGTCCCAAATTATCTTCAAAGCAGCCGCCATGTTCCAGATTGTAGCTGAGAAGATACCAAGGCCTCTATATGTTTTTTTTGAACAAACTCTGTCCCAAGATACTAGGGCAGGTTTGGTAGAATGATCATTTTTTCCCCATAGGAAATTTCTACAGAGCTCGTCAACTTTTTTGAGGACTTTAGCTGGGAGAACAAAGCAAGAGGTCCAATATATTTGTATGCCCAGGATAACACTTTTTATTACTTGTAATCTGCCTGCATATGAAAGCTTTTTAACCTTCAAATAATTCTGAAGTTGACTGGATACTTTGCTGAGGAGAGGATTGCAATCAAGAGTTGTTAGCCTCCTGCACACAAGTGGCATTCCCAGATATTTGATAGGCATTTTGCCTTCGGAAAAGCCCAGGTAATTTTGAATTGTTGCCTTCACAGAATCTCCAACTCCACCATAGAAAATTGCACTCTTGCTAGGATTTGCCTCCAGGCCTGAGACCTGACTGAAACTTGTGATACATTGATAAATTTTTTGAATAGAGAGAAGATCTCCTTTGCAAAAGAGTAATAAGTCATCCGCAAAGATTAGATGAGTTATTTTTTGCCTTCCACACTTAGGATGATATTTGAAATCCCTGTCATGATTCAGAAAGTCCAGACTTCTTGTAAGATATTCCATAGCCAGAATAAACAGATATGGGGAGAGGGAATCTCCTTGTCGTAGGCCTCTTTCACCCTTGAAATATCCATGTAAAGACCCATTGAGAGAGATGGAATACTTGGGGGTAGATATGCATGTCATAATTCTGTCAACCATCACAGTTGGAAACCCCAAACCTTGAAGAATTTCTTTAATAAAATCCCAACTAACAGTGTCAAAGGCTTTCCTTATGTCAATGTTAATCATGGCTCTAGGGGAGATGTGCTTTCTATTATAGTTTTTAACCAATTCATGAGCCAATAGGACATTATTTGTAATATGCATACCCTTTACAAAAGCAATTTGAGCTTCATTTATGAGATACCCCATGACTGATTGTAACCTATTTGCAAGAATCTTTGAGATGACTTTATAGATACAATTGCAACATGAAATTGGCCTGAAATCAGATGGGGTGTTTGGACATTGTAACTTAGGAATCAAGGTGATTGAGGTTGAATTAACAACACCAAGTAACTTTCCAGTAGAGAAGAACTCATCAATAGCTGAAGTTAATTCATCTCCAATAACTGACCAGGCTGTCTTGAAAAAAGATGCTCCATAACCATCTGGGCCTGATGATTTATTATCGGCCATAGAGAACACTGCTCTCTTGATTTCTTCTTTAGTTATAGGTACATTAAGATCCCTGATGTGATTTTCATCCAAACATGGACCATTTTTTATAACCCTGATGTCAGGAGCCATTGTTTGAACTGCAGTACCCATGAGACCTTTGAAGTAGTTGATGAGCTCATTAGCAATATCCTTACTTTCAGTAATTCTTTCTCCCCTGCTGTTACTGAGAATTAGTACTCTATTCTGGTGCCTGTTTGCTTTGATTACTGAGTGAAAGTAGCTTGTGCATCTGTCCCCCTTGATACTCCATTGAATTCTTGCTTTTTGCTGATAGAAAGATAGCTCACAATTCAAAAGTTTACTATAAGTAGATAAGCAACTTTTTTCTTGGCATATAAGAGCAGAATTAAAAGGGTCATCCTGTAATTTTTTTTGAGTATCTTCCAAAGCATGATGAGCTCTTAAGACCTGTTCACTGATATTAGCATAATGCTTCCTGTTGAGTTCCTTCAGAGCACTCCTTAGAAGTTTGAGTTTAGAAATGACTGAATACATTTTGAAACCAACTATCTGTGTTTGCCATATTGAATTCACTGTAGGCAAGTAATTGTCATGAGTTGTCCACATTTTAAAGAACTTAAAAGGCTTTTTTCCTCTATCTTTCTCTTCATATACTGAGACCAAAGCAGGTGAGTGATCTGAAAAATTTGGAGATAAAAATTCAACATGACTAGAAATATGCCTTTGAATCCAGGCTTCATTCACTAGGGCTCTGTCCAATCTGCACCAGACCCTAGTATCTTGGTCTTGCTTATTACTCCAAGTAAAAAAATTACCCAAAGTTTTCATATGTAAAAGCTGGCAATCCTCTATGAAAGACCTGAAGTCTTTTGTGTCTGTATCAGTGAGAGCTACACCTCCAATTTTCTCTTCATCATTTATCATAGTATTGAAATCTCCACAAAGAAGCCATGGAGAATTCCCAGCAGTTTGCTTGATTTGAAAAAGCTCTGTCCACAAATCTCTCCTACAGCCCTGATGGTTGGAACCATATACAGAGGATATAATGCAGTCTACCCTACCATCCACAGACTTAACAGTACAAGTAATATGTTGTGAAGAAATGTGCTCAATTTGGATATTAAGAATATCAGGATCCCATAGAAGTAAAATCCTGGCTTTGCCATTATTTGGTGCATTAGAAATCCATTTCCATTTACCAGCTATCTTCTTTGCTACTACTGGTATGTTAGCCTGCTTAATTTTTGTTTCAAGTAAAGCAATGAAAGAAAGATGATACTGAAAAATATGCTGCTTAGTCAGATGATGCTTAGGGGATTTATTTAGTCTCCTTACATTCCAAAAGGAAAAATTCATTTCAATCTAGCTTTACTCCCTCTGTCCAATGTGGAGGGATCCAGATCACATATTTTTGCTGCCAAAGAAGAGAAAGAGTTACTAGATATGAGCCTGCTATTATTTCTTCCCTTTTGTATTTGTGTCCATGAAGCCTCAGGATGTACTTCTTCTCTATTTTCAGTGTTTGCTCCAGAAACATGCACAACATGCACAAGTTTTTTAGTCTGTGAACTATGCACAACATGAACAGGATTTTCCTCAATTGAGAATAAAGATAATCCTTCTCTCTCTATTTGCCCATCTTGTATCTGATTATCAATATATTCAGAACATTTCCCAGCTATGTGCACATTGTGCACATTTTGAGTATTCACAAGAATTTTTTCAGATTGCCTCAACTCAGATTGGTTTGACCCCTTAGAAAGAATGATATGATCCTTTCCATGCACAGACTTCATGAAATCAGTATTTTGTATCACAGGATTTTCAGAGCCTGAATTTGACAATAAGCTAGCATTTAGGCCCCCCTGAACATTTTCCTTTGTTCCAGGATTTTTTGGAACCCATCTCTGAGTTCTGACCTGTCTTCTACAAAACTTAGCATCATGTCCCAATTGTTTACAATAATCACACCATTTAGGCTTCCATTCATATTGTACTCTTTGATTAATCATCTTGCCATTTGGCCCTTGTATTGAAATATGATCTGGCAACATTGAAGGCATTTTCACTTCCACAAGCACCCTAGCATATGATAGCCTCTGTCTATTGGCAGTGAGCTTATCTGTGGCTATTGGTTTGCCAATTACACTTGCTATTTTGCTCAAACATTTAGCATTCCACAAATTCAACCTTAACCCTGGCAGCTGAATCCATATAGAATAGGTATTTTCAAAACTCTTTTATGTTTCTTCTTCAATTGTCCAGAATTTAAGTAAAATAGGTCTTGATCCAAAGAACCAAGGGCCATTTTCCATAATATCATTCATTTCTTCCTTAGTATTAAATCTGAACAGGAAAAGTCCTGATTTAAGAAGAAGAATTTCTAGAGTAGCCAGAGGAGACCAAGCTTTCTTAATGAAATTTTCCATATCCTTAAATTTGGCATTAATCCCTTATACCTGACCAATGAGAGATAATTTCCATATAGATTCTCCTTCTTTCCATTCCTCTTCTTCAAAAATTACAGAATCTTTAGAGTTAGGGGGAATAAAATCCAAAGCCATGCCATTACTTATCTTTCTATTATCAGCAAAGAAACTGATCCAGCTCTTTTTCTCATTTTTAACAGGATCCAGAAATTGCTCAGACTGTGAAGGATTTAAAGGAGGGAATTCATCATTTTCTTTAGTACTATCCTTATCAAGATTCCTCAATTCAGTCAAATCCACAGCAGGATTCAAAATATCAGAGTCTTCTTTTTCATTCAAAGTACGTGAATTCAAAGATTCCACCTCCAAGACTTCATCATCAGCCCAAGATCCACTCATATTCTTTAAAGATTTAGAAGAAAGTATTGACCTACTGGGCAGGGAAGCAAACCTCTGAGTAGATCCTTGTGACATCTCCTCCATAGACTTCATCGTTCTTTCTCCCCTTCCTGAATCAAGATAGGGCGTAGATCCTTGTGACATCTCCTCCATAGACTTCATCGTTCTTTCTCCCCTTCCTGAATCAAGATAGGGCAGGGAAGCAAGCCTCTGAGTAGATCCTTGTGATTTAGACATCTCCTCCTTCATCGTTCTTACTCCCCTTCCTGAATCAAGAACATCAGGAACAGAATTCAGCAGATCCGCCATTAGAATCTTCTTTTTCTCTCCCCTAGGTCCCGTAGATCCCATCAGCTCCGATTCAGATGAGACATATCCATCTTCAGCAAAATCGGAATCATCAGGATTCACAGGAGCAATCGAACTTGAATTTGAAGATCTCAAACTAATTTCCATGATTTTTTTTCCTTTTTTCTTTTTGATTTTTGCCATCACAAATCCAGGCGGGGGCGCAAGTTAGCAGGCAGAAAATTACCTGCTAACGTGCACCAGGGAGAAACCGCCAAAAAAATCTTAAATTTGTTATTAATGAAAATACGAAGACAATAATTTGTTCTTTATTAATTTCTGCATGAAAAACTGGCTTTAATGATAGCAAAGAGAGTCAATACCTTTATTTGAATGGTTAGGTTGCTCTTTCTGATCCATAGCTTTTCTTTATGGTCAGGGTGAAAGCGATTCACCTTCAGGGTCAGCATGCAGCTGGTACTCTCCAGGTAGCTGGTCTCATTTCCCTATATTGATATATAAGGCTTGAGCATTAATTTCTTGTGTGAATATTGGTGTAAACATAATTGATATAGCTGATTGCTAAATGTATAATACAAGGAGCAAATGTTGCTTACCTTGCTTATCACTGTCAAATGTCCATCAGTAGGATGTGATATTTCATTCTGACCACGTATAACAGTCCCATCCTGGAGTTCCAAAAGGATAATAAAATTAGAAAATCAGCTTTATTTAGACCAAGCCCTACTAGAGATTCTTATGCTTCAAATTCACTTCAAAAATGGTATATCGTCTAGACCACAGTATCTTTTCCGAATCAAGGAAGTGAGAAACTTAGACCTACTCTAAATATTTACGAGCAAATACAATGGCAATCTATAGTAGAATAACTGCTACACTTAAAAGCGTCCCTTAAAGATGTACAATAAACTCTGGAGGACAGCTACTCAGACCATTATGCTTTATGCATAAGAAATTTGGGTGACTAGTAAACAACTTGCATACTGAATGAATGCATAACATGAGAATGTAGGGATTGATTATAACAAGGGGGAAAATGAGGAAATCCAGTATATTGTCATTGGTTGTTTCAATTAACTAACAGGCATACGATGGAGCTCCCACTTGCATAAGGCTAGCCTATCACCAAAATATTAATAATGATGAAAACAAAAGATAAACGATGAAATTTTGAGATAATCATGTCGACCAGGACCAACAGGTGCATAAAGAATAACTTACTATGAAGTAGGTAATAAAACCAGAAGTACAAAAAAAACTTGATCGGCTTAGTAAAATGGATTGTTGTCTATGATTCCAACACAGAAAATTGGCCTTAACAGTGCTGTTGGTTTTGGGTGTTCACGAGGAAGAGGAGAGGGAAAGGGAAGGAGGGACATGGAACTGACCTCACAAATTACGGCAGGGAGATCCAATAAATACATGATGTGCACTAAAAGCGCATATGTGCTCAATACTCTCAAACTATAATTGACTTAGTTATGTACTTATATTCAATACCAAAGTGTGTGATATGGTATCAAATTGAAGATCTACATGTTACTAATTTCGAATAAAGAATAGACCTCTAACAGCACAGTAAAAGGTGGCAAATGAATGGTTCACCAACACAAAAAATAAAATCACGTTTTTGAAGTCCTCAAGAACACATGATTATATATGCAGATGTTTTAGGCCATGTAGCTTATTGTCAACAGGACAGGTTGTCCATTTGAACAAAACTCAAAGAAAAAATGCTCTCCTGTTTAATTTGAGTATATGAGCTAGAATAACTAAGCAATAAAGATTAATCTGATAATAACAAAAACCAGAGGAAAACAACTGTAGAAAACAACACTAATAACAAAAGATAAAGTATCAATTATAAACCTTAGTACATAAATCAAGTTCTGTGTAGAGTATGGTGTGATCTGTATGCAAACCAAGCTATAGTAGGCGCATGAGATCAGCAGCAACATGGATGTGAGCTTAACCAGAGTATGCAAACCAAGTGTAAGGGTAAAGCATAGAAGCTGAGATCAGTATCACACAGAAAAGAGTATGCAAACCAAGTGCACTTTCTAACCACAACAGCATTTAAAGTAGTCACCAATTATGTATAACTTACCAGCTTTTCAAAGCATAACAACTTTGTCTGACGGCCAAGCTATTGTCGTACCAACGGCATCTTCAATGCATTCTAACTCAGATGTCGGCCTCCAAAAAGATGCACTAGGGATACTAGGGATATCAACCCAAACACGCATAGCATTAGGACCTAAAGGAACGAAGTGAACAACCTGGTTCGGATCACTTGAAGACCAATGTCCTTCAGCAACTATCTTTCCCGAGCCACCAATATCTAACAAGTTGCACTTTTTCTTTGAGTTGTTCACACTCTAGCAACAATACAAAAACAGTGATATCAATTATAGAAAAGAAACTAGTATAATCAAATTTCAAAATAATGATAGTATCAGAAAAAAAGGTTACCGAAGGAGATGATATGTTTGTAGATTCCACATTGTTAATTGAGATATTTTCCAATACAACCTTGTCAGCAGGCCACGCTACTTTAGTGCCGATAGCATCTTCAATAGATGTCATGTCAGGCGTGGGTCTCCATAAAAAAGCTTCAGGACTTGTCGGGACATCAACCCAAACAATCATGGCATTAGGTCCGAGAGGAACGCCATTAACAAGCATTTTTGAATCATTGGAAACCCAACGACCTTCAGCAACAATTTCATCTTTTCCGGTCCAATTGAAGATCTTGCACTTTATATGATTCATATTTTTACTCTACCAATCAATGAAAACAAACAAACTCGACTTAACTATTTATATGTAAGATAACTAATATGAGTAATAAAAGTAAATGAGCAAGCTAAAAATTATTTTACCGAATGCATGGATATATTGTCTTCATTGTCAGATTGATGACTGATTTGGAACACCACCTTATCAGCTGGCCACGCTATTGTCTTCCCCTGAGCTTGTTGCATACAGAACATATTAGTTGTAGGCCTCCAAAGAAAAGCTTCTGGTTTGTTTGGAATGTCTACCAACACTTCAATTGCATTAGGACCAAGACGAGCATGATTTACAAGCTCCTTTGGGTCACTAGAACACCAACGTTCTTCAGCTACAACCTCATCTATTCCACACTAATCTAAAAGCTTGCACTTGTCATGTGGTTTAGGGCACATACTCTACAATGTATCAGACTATAATTAGAACATAAAACTCTATCCGGATAATAACACATGCAATTTTCAAATTTTATACCTCATAATCGATTAAAAAGAAACATGCTAGATAATTGACTTATTTACCTTAGGACTGGTCTTATCAATTTCGGGCCCATTCTGCTCATCTTCATATTCCTCATTCTGCATTCTCTAACAACTCAAAAAAAAATATTATTAATAATAATTGTTAGCAAATCTAGTTATAAAGACCGGTAACTAATTTATAAACGAAACAAGGCTGAATTCAATGAGGCCCTCTCTCAAACAGGCATATGAAAAAGTTATATACCAAAACAGTAATGACGCATGGGAATGAGGTTCCCTCTGTTCATGTTCTCATCTTTTGCAAGTCAATTTCATCTTTGCATCCAAGATGTGACAAGAATATATACTATGATGGAAAATAGGGGAAAGTTTATTTGCATAGTCACAGTGGTCCAAAGGAATGAGTCTATTAATTCAATGAAGAAGACGTACATGAGGAAGCAGAAGAGACCACGATACCAATGCAGTCAAATATGCAAAACAGTAGCTAGCAGAAAAATAAAAAATAAAAGACAAAACTGAACTACATTTCATTCAACTCCAATAACCAAAGGGTAAAGAGAAACGTGAATAAAGTTGATGGAACAGGAAGAGAAGTTGGATATTCAAGATGCGTGATAACCAATAACAAAAGAAAATATTTACATTTCATATGAACTATAAGGGCGTGAATTGAAAGAAAAAAAAAGGTCCCTTTCGGTAAGCAAAAAATATTGCTTTGTACCCAGTTAGAACATGTCACATAATCAAACCCTACAACCCACAAACGTTGTCGCTTGGCATGATCACAGATCCGCAGGCAAATATTGCTTCGAAAACTTCATAGTGAACCTCTGCTGATACTAAAATACGCAGAGAAACTCTTTCTCTAGTAACTTCAATAGCATCTTGCGCGCAAGATGCAATACCAGGAAGCTTTCTACAAAATTCATGATGGGCAAAGAGAACCTCTCTACTGGAGTTTAGATGGTACACGTATGTCACATACAAGATCCTAAGGTTTTTCTTGCCAAATCTGAGGACGGTAGAGGTTGTTATGTTGAATCCAATAACCAGAAGAAATTTTAATCGAATCGAATAGAATAAGAAGGTTTTTTTGTCAAGTGTTGATAGTATGGGATTTTCAGTAAGTTATTCTATACAATTTGATAGCCAGTCCAGGATCCAAGTTTGGTCTGTGTGACCAGCCTTAGTAGTGTTGGCACAAATGGACGATACAAACATCCCTCCAAAAAAGGAGGGGGAAAGAAGCAAGAAAACCTGCATGTTAAAAATGATAAGGAACCCACATAAATGAAGGTTCCCTCTGTTCATGTTCTCATCTTTTGCAAGTCACTTTCATCTCTGCATCCAAGATGTGACAAGAATATATACTATGATGGAAAATAGGGGAAAGTTTATTTGCATAGTCACAGTGGTCCAAAGGAATGAGTCTATTAATTCAACGAAGAAGACGTACATGAGGAAGCAGAAGAGAACAAAAACAACACAATAAACTTTTGTGTCCGATCTTGTATATATATACTCATATCAAATAATATCGTTTTATACATGTTGGCTTTCAAGAGTCCATAATACCACTGCAGTCAAATATGCAAAACAGTAGCTAGCAGAAAAATAAAAAATAAAAGATAAAACTGAACTCCAGAGTCTAACCAGACCAGCAGTCAAACAATAGGATGGCAGAGGCTAGTGTAAAACAAAGAAGAGTATCAATAACGTCAATTATAAATACCTACATAAATGAAGGAACCCACATCCTCATTTTCTCTTTTTGATGCCAAGGGTAATTTTCCAGATATTTTTTTTCACAGAAAAAAATAAAAAAGAAGATAACAAAATATGATGTGAACTAATTTATGAAATAATGGCTTGGATGGCAAATACAAGTCCTTTAATTGAAAGTTATATAGATGTACCTGATGATTTCCAACTAATTTATGGATCACAGTCTCCAACTGTTGTATTCTATTTCGGAATTCAGAATTTTCCTCTTTTAGCTGGAGCACATGTTTGTCTCTGGCTTGTAAGAAAGATACTTTGCTTATAGTAACTCCTCTTCCCATTCCTCTTAATCGCCCAGGTTTATCTTTTCCTAATACTTTAGAAAGAGCATCTTCTCTCACATTAGTTGATGAGGATGAAGGTGTAGCAGTTTCAATTTTTTTAAGCTTATCCTGAAAGGTACAACATATATATCATTAAGAAAACATATATTAATGTATAATGTATTACCATATCAGCTGTTAATCGAACCATTCCCTTGCGACTGCAAGTGTGTGGGACTTGTCTGTGCCTTAATGCCTTGAACTTTTCACTTTTGACCTGGAGACATTGGTCCTTTATCATAATAACATCTCTTAATATAAGCTAGTGATTAATTATCTCAGAAAAACATACCTTAAACTCTGGGCTTGTTTTTGTCTTGATAAATTTCTTCCAAATTGCTAAAGATGGTATGTTGTCTGGTTTGAGCTGAAGTCTTTGTTCCTTCTTCTTTGTTGCTCGTATTTGAGCAACTAGTCTTGATTTTGAGGCCCTCCAAAGACATCTCATCAATTGAAATATGACATTCTTTTGCCATTCTTCTTCTAATATGAATCTTGCCAGCATTTTATATGCATGAAAGTATTATTAGCTGAAGGACTATATTGAAGGAGATTTTCATATGTTAGATAGCTTATGTAAAATGATAGTAAATTATTACCTGAACTTCTTCCCATAATACAACTTTCAGACCATCATCAAGGTTCCTCCAATCATCAAGTGTTACAGGAACATGCTCTCATACAAGAGGGCCCAAAAACGATGACAAGTGTACTGATCCGGGTCCATATGGTTCACCAGAATCAGTAAATTGAATCTGAATTCGGTTCGCAGGGTCCCTAGCAAGATTTTTCTTTTTTGTTGGACCCCTTTTCTTTTTTATGCCTCTTGCAGCTTTAATTGTATCTTGTGTTGGTGCATCTTCAGCTGTATCATCTTCTTGGACCATATCTTCTTCAGGAATATGAATATTTGGAACTGGTCCATCTTGGGGAGCTTCTTGATTGACTTGCGTAAGGCCTTCCATGGCATTCACATCCCTCGCATAATTATCCACCTAGAAGAAGTAGGTACTCCAATTAAACTATCATTAATTAAGCTTTCATGAATTCTGAAATTAAGCTCTACCAAAAATACCTTATCGGTTTATCGAGTGCCTGCATGCAAACATATCATCATCGCATGATAGTGCATTCCAATACATTTTGTCTTCTTTTTTCTAAGTAGTATATACCATTGAACATTACAAAGTATACATATTGACAGCTTAGTGAGGATGATCCTGCTGAGGAACCTAGTGGAGACGAGATGCTTTCTAGCTTCAATGAATGGATTCTACCTGCTAAAGAACTTGATGGAATGTGGGAAATGTTTTCATTTAGCAAAATTAGTTTATTAAATCCCCTAAAAACTGTAGGACTTATGATATCTAATAATTTTAATTATCTTTGCAGCTTAATTTATGAAACTGGCCTCAAACGCAACATCTCCAATTTAGCTTTCTTCAACCTCCACTTTCTAGCGAATTGGCACAAGCAAACTTCAAACCCCAAAACAAAGAAAATAAGAACAGGGGAAAATTCAGGTTGTCTACCATAAATGAGGAGCAATCTATTCTGAAGACTGCATTAACCTGAGGAAATATTTTTGCTTGCAAGCATTAAAATACCACTACAGTAACCTATTCTGAAGACTGCATTAACCTGAGGAAAAATTTTGGAGGCCAAACAATAAAATTGTTGCTTGCAAGCATTGCCTACAGTTACAAAATGGAAACTCCAAAATTTCTTCTTAAGGAAATATTTTTTTTCAATAAATTTACTTCTGACAATTTGATTGATAAAGTAGTTGATTATTATAAGGGTCCTTTCACTTAAGCCCCTGAGCTTTTAGGTGTCTTACCCTTACCCCCTCCCTCCTACACCCCACACACGCGCGCACCCCCACCCAAAAATATGTTTTCTTAGACCCCAGCAATAGGAATTGACAAAAAGGCGCTTTTACAAAAGGGTACTTTTTCATAAATTGAGGGGCGTTTTCTTTCTTTTACAGATAGAACGTGCTTGGCACGTGAGCCATCAAAATTGATGGCGTTACTTGGGGTAAATGAGAAAATTTAAGGGTTTAAGTGAAATAAACAAAGCTCGGGGTTGATAACAGAAATCAACCCTTAATATACACCTAGACTGCATATATCCTCTTCATAAATCCTCCATTCATTTTTTTTTCACTATTTGTTCACCTGCCATTTTTGCTAAAAATTTGAACCACACAAGCTTTGCAAACAAAGGATGAGAAAAAAGATTTATTTCTGTTGTAAATTTACTAGTAGTTACAACTACATGTATCAACTAAGGGCCAACAATAAATCCTGTAAAAGGATAATATAGGCATATGATCATGCGATAACTATACCATAATACTGTTCTTCCTTTTACGCTGACCTGTCTTTGTAGTCTCACCAACCATCCTCGTTTATCTGTATTAGAAAAAATAAAGGTAAGTATCTATATAGTTAAACCTGGTTTCATATGTGAAACAAATTATACATAAATCAAAATCACAAATAAACACAGTGACACACATTTAAAGTATGAACAACACCAAAATTATTATAAAGTAGCAGCCAATAAGACAAGATAAATCAAACACTTTAAAGTATGATCAACAATCAACCTCC